GCACTCTTTACATCCATTTGATGCAACCTGAACTTGAGGTGACAAGCTACACCAAGCAGCAATCTAATAAACTCCAAGCGAGCCACAGAAGCAAATGTTTCATCAAAGTCTATTCCCTTAATTTGAGTGTAGCCCTGAGCAACCAGTCTGGCTTTATTTCTGATGACACCTCCTTGTTTATCAGTCTTGTTCTTGTACACCCATTTTATACCAATGATGTTCACCCCTTCAGGTCTTGGTACCAAGTCCCATAGTTCATTTCTTTTGAATTGACCAAGTTCATCTTGCATAGCATTGATCCAGAATTCATCAGTCAAAGCTTCCTTCACATTTTTAGGCTCAATTTTTAACATAAAACAAGCATTTGATACAACTTCCCTTGATGTGGTAACTACTCCTTGTCTAGGATTTCCTATTATCAGTTCCTTAGGATGATTCCTTTGAATTCTGAGAGAGGGTCCTTTGTCAGTTACCTGAGGTTCTTCAACTTCAGGATCAACACTTAGACTTGCAATGTCTGTGGAAGATGTTGTGACATTTTCTTCAGCAATCACACCTCCTGTAGGGATCGTTGTCTCACCTTCTTATGGGACATAATATTCTTTAGTTGAGTCATTAACAATAACATTTGAAGACTCCATCATTACCTAGGTTCTGGAGTTGAATACTCTATATACTTTATTGTTAGTAGAGTATCCCATAGAAATACTTTCATCGCTCTTGGCATCCAACTTCCTTCTTGGCTCTCGGTCAGCCAGAATGTAACATTTACTTCCAAAGACATGGAAGTACTTAGAAATTGGATTTCTTCCTCTCCATAATTCATACAAAGTAATTGAAGTTCCAGTTCTGATTGTCACTCTATTGTGAATATAGCAAGCAGTGTTCATGGCTTCAGCCCAAAAGTAAAGAGGTAATTTCTCCGCATGAAGCATAACTCTTGCACACTCTTGAATAGTCACGTTCTTTCGCTCAACAACATCATTTTTTTGAGGAGTGATAGGTGAGGAAAACTCATGACTAGTCCCCGTAGATGCATAAAACTCCTCAAACTTAATGTTCTAAAATTCCTTCTTGTGGTCACTTCTGATTCTGACAACACCACAACCTTTTTCTCTTTGAATCTTGTGACATAGTTCCTTGAACACTTCAAACACCTAAGATTTCTATTTGATGAACTTTACCCAAGTGAATCTTGAGTAGTCATCAAAAACAAAAAAGGCATACTTTTTTTCTCCAAGACTTTCCACCTGCATATGCCCCATCAAGTCCATGTGAAGAAGCTCTAGAACTCTTGAGGTAGAAAAATGTTGAATCTTCTTATGGGACATCCCTGTCTGCTTCCCAATTTGACATTCACCACAAATTTTCCCTTCATCAATCTTCAATTTGGGAATATAGCTTCCTTTGACATGATCTTTTTCATTCCCTTCAGATGTAGATGTCCAAGATTTTGATGCCATATGCTTACTTCATCATCTTTTGACAATAAGCATGTTGAGAGACAATCTGGAGAATTCCATAGGCAGCAGTTGTCTTTTGACTTGGTTCCTCTTATAACCACTTCATCCTTATCATTTGTAATCAGACATTCAGATTGAGTAAAGTTAACTTTGAGACCTTGATCACAGAGTTGACTGATACTTATCAGATTTACTGCTAGCCCTTGCACAAACAACACATTATCTAGACTCAGTTGTCTAGCATAATCCACCTTTCCCACACATTTGATTTCACTCTTTGACCCATCTCCAAAAGTGACATAGCTAGTGGCACATGGTTTGATGTCCACTAGGAATCTCTTAACTCCAGTCATGTGTCTGGAGCAGTCACTATAAAAATACCAATCTTCTTTAGTAAAGGCTTTGAGAGAAGTTTAAGTTATAAGTCCATATGAGTCATGGTGGAAGGCTCCTTTAGACTCCACCTTATATTTATCATCTTTTCTCCTGTAAGGGAATATATGGATGTGATATCCATACAATTTGTAGCCCAAGGACTTTAAATGTCCAAACCCTCCGCAATAGTGACCCCTCCATGGCTGATACATGGGACTATGATATCTTCCCTGATGTCTTGACTGGTGTTGGAACATGTGTCTTGACATATTCAGATCATGCTTCATCTTTTGAGGAGAAAACTCAGCTATTTACTTGTTCTTCACAATTTGGTTATTAAAACTAAGACCCTTCACATTCCCAACATTCTCCTCTCTAAGACTAGCAATGATAGATAGATACTCTTCTTTCTCAGCCTCCAGTTAAGTAATGACAAACTTTCGTGTCAATACTTTCTGACACAATTTTTCATTCTTGAGGCACAACTCTGAATACCCAGCAACTAGTTCAATAACATTGAGTTCTCCAACATATGATTCTTTATCTGATTAACAAGATTCTTTATCAGATCCATAAATTCTAGTCAAGGCAGTCACTTGCTTGGCTGAATCTTCCTCATGATCACTTTCAGATTCTCCATCAAACCATGACACAGACAAATTATTTCCTTACTTTTTGAGATAAGTGGCCCATTCAACTCTTATGTGTCCATATTCCTCACATTCATGACACTGGACACCTTTCCCTTGGTTTGGATTTTCTTCAAATCTAAACTTTCTTCCCAGGTCCTGGTTTTTGTTGATGTCGCATGACATGTTCTTAGCACCCATCCTGGACCTCCTCAGCACCCGACTAAGTTATTTTCCTAACAGTACGAGATCCTCAGATATTCCTTCTGAGTTCATGTTTCCTTTATCCTCTAAGTCTTCTGCACTAGAAGCAAAATATATGCTCTTCTTCTCTTCAGATCTTTCATTGATAGCAGACTCAAAAGTCTTATGTGAACCTACAAGTTCATTTACCGTCATAGTGCTTAAATTCATGGATTCTTCAATAACAATCACATTTATGTCAAATATATTGGGAAGAGATCTAAACATCTTCTTGACCAGCTTGTCCTCTGAAATCTTCTCTCCTAGGTCTTCTGAGTCATTAGCAATATTTAGAATAATCATGTGAAATTCCTGGATACTTTCATCCTCATTCATCTTCAAGTTCTCAGATTTGGAAGAGAGGAGCTGAAGCTTTGCCAATTTAACCATAGGATTTCCTTCATGCACTTTCTTCAGGTTCTCCCATGCAACTTTTGCATGTTTACAATTCTTTATCATCTAGAAACTATTTTTATCAACTCCATTGAATATGACATTCAATGCTTTGGAGTTTCCTTCCCTGCTGCATCCACTACCTTCGGTGGATCCCAAACTTTAACAACATTTCTCCAAGCCTTGTCACCCAAGGACTTTATAAAGGTTTCCATACGAGGTTTCCAACTGTCATAGTTGGTACCATCCAGAATCTATATTTTAACCATAATTCTACCATCCCTGTCCATTGCACCAAAAAGTAACTTCCGTGAATCTCACCCCAGAGTCAAAGCAGGATACATGCTCTAATACCAATTGAAATTCTGGCTATCAGATCCCATATATCCTAAGAGATGTGGAGACACTGAATCCGACTTCATACACACTAGCAAGATGTATAAACATAAATAACAATGCTGAAACTAAATAACACAACCCAGTTCGGAACAACCTTCCTACTATGGGGCCTACCAAGTCAGGGACGAAATTAACTAGATAGGATCAATTTGCAGACCTTAGAGCAAACCTCTAATTTACAGTGTTCGCACTTAATCACTACCATTTGCTTAACTTCTATCTAAGACACACCTAAGTATAAGGCCCTCCTCAAATCCCTCTTCAATTACACTCAACAATTGGAGCAAACTCTAACCACAAGTACAGAACAAACCAACCGAAAGCTATACTTCCAAAACACCAAAACTCAATGCTTAAAAGCTTATAAGAATTAACACATAATATGTTCAATGCTTAAAAGCTTATGAACATCTAACAGAAAACTTATAACACAACAAATAAAGATTCTAAAACCCTACCACAAATACATTCGTAAGCTCCACTCAATACTAGGTATACACTAGTCTATTTATAACTTTATTCTTGACTGAGTTGGGCTTCAAAACCGCAGTAGTGAGACTCCACAAAGTCTGCAAAAAGTCCTCCAAGAAAATAGGTATTCAATCATTAGTTTCCTAATAAATCTTCATATTTAGAAGCTAACCGGAAGCTATACTTCCAAAACACCAAAACTCAATGCTTAAAAGCTTATGAGAATTGACACACAATATGTTCAATGCTTAAAAGCTTATGAACATCTAACAGAAAACTTACAACCCAACAAATAAGGATTCTAAAACCCTAACACAAATACATTCGTAAGTTCCACCCAATACTAGATACACATAGTCTATTTATAACTTTATTCTTGACTGGATTGGGTTTCAAAACCGCAACAGTGACACTGCCCAAAGTCTGCAAAAAGTCCTCCAAGAAAACAGGTATTCAATCATTAGTTTTCTAATAAATCTCCATATTTAGAAGCTAATCAAATCTTCTAAAATCAATCAAAGAATATTCTGAATTATCAATCTTGGACGCCACATAAACTAACTGAATATTCCCTAAATATACAATAGTTAAAAATCAGTTGATCCACAACTGTCAGCTTGTTGCAGACGCGGTGTCCTAACTCCTTGTCGGGACATCTTACTCGACATGTTAAAACAGAATGTTAGAACATCTTGTTTAACATGTTTCCTGCTAAAATGGTTTTACCAAAATGTAAGTCGTCATAATTTCAGAAAAATAACACAAATCAATCAAAATGGCTCCAAAAGTGAAAATTTTCAACACTCACATTCTCCCTCAAATTCTTCGATCTTTCCCTCTTAAATTTCAGTTCTTACTCCTATAAATAACATATCTCAGATCAAAAAAAAAAAATTTGAAACTGAAATTCACAAAAGGAAGAAATTAGAAGAGAGTATAGAAAATTCTGCGAAGTATCATCGATACTTCTTCCAAATAATCTTCCTCCAAGCTATCATCACCATACACTACCTACAACATCACTTGTTCACCTATATTTCAATAATCCCCATACCCTACCCCCTCCGTTAACTTCCGTAACCATCTGAATTTCCCATCCATCTACTTCAAACACCGCTCCAACCGCATCATCACCATCGGTCCTCGCAACACTAATAACAATGTACCTGCAAGTTGAAATTTAACACCGATACATCGAAATCAACAACGCATACGCGTGAAGAAGAAAAGCAAACTGGCGAAAAGCAGAAGCACATTTCAGAAGAAGAGTTGATTTCTTATACTTACAATTTTTCGATGCTCCGTCTGAGAGACTCCGATCCGGTAACCTTCTTTTCCTTCGTTTTTGCTACTTTTGATTCATATTGTCGTTGTTATCGTTTGTTGTTGTTGCCGCTTTCATTGCTTGTTATTATAAACTGTGACTGAAAAATCAAAAACCATGAGAAGGTGTTGTTGATGTTCGGTTAGGAGGAGGAGAGAAATTGATGTCGCTGCTAGTTTGTTTTAGCGTAGAAGAAGAAAAGAGAGGAAAGTATTCGGTTGAGGAAGTTTTTTTTGAATGTTTATAGATTAAGAGAATGAAAAATAGAAAGAGGAATAGTTAGCGCAAAAACACAGGAAAATATAGCATGGAATAGAAAGAGTTTGAGCGGCCAACCATTATTAGGTTTTTCTTAAAGTGTGAATTATCTTTTGGGCCTTACCCAGTAATCAAACTCGGCCCAATTCTTTTATTGTTCTGGTTGTTTTATTTTCTGTTTGTTATTGCAATGTTAATTTGGGTCATGCTGTTTGTTCACTTAAAGTCCAGTCCTAATTCACACTACTTTTTTTTAGCTGCTAATAAATAAAATGTTTGGGCCTTCCCCAAATCTCCAAAGCCCATTCCGATTTGCTTATGATACACCTTTAGTTTACTGTTTTAAACCCAATATCTTTTGTTTTCTATATTTTTTTGATTATCTTATTTTATTGTTTTGTTTATTTTTATCATGATATTTGTTAATGGTAATTAATTTTGATAATTGATTTTTATTTATTCAAACTAATGTGGATTAATTAGTTTTAGTAAAAAATTTCAATTAACTCAATTAGTTTGTGTGTGTATCATTTTATCATTTAATTGATTTGTTTCGATTATGTGATTACTTCTTTGCGCACATTGTTATTTTTAGTTAATTAATCAAATGTTGATATTAGTTAGCTAATTTAATTATTAAAAATTAATTAGTTTTGCTAATTAATTTTTCTTAATCTAATTAATTAATTTTATCAATTCTTGATTAATTAATTAAATATTTATTTCATACATACATTTAGCTTGGATACATATTTCTAATCCACTTTGGCTTGCCTTTTTGTTTCATGAGACCCTTAGATTATTTTCTCTATTATACTGATTTTGTTGGGAATTTCATTTGATATAGAGATTCTTATCGGATACTTTGAGCTTTATCCATTGCTTTGAGTTTTATCTGACATATGACACATTGAGCTTATCTGATACCTTGGGTTTCTATGATATTGTCGACTTGTGATTTATTTTCACATGTTGTCTTGTACACTCTTGATTTATTATTTGCTTGTGGCTTTAATCCAAAGGGATGGGAACATTGTATTGACTTCTTTATGTCAAGTATTGGCTTCTTATTTGGCTAGATCATTCCTTACTTTCGCTTTTGTCTTGTATTTTAGGATAGTTCCTTCACCTTCTCTCATTCTTCAATTTTAAAAACCTTCTCATCTTTTTCAAAATCTTCTTTGTCTTTCAAACTCAAATCACACTCATTATAAACCCTGACCTTGTCAAGTGATTTTTCAACTGCTTTTTCTTAATCAAAACTAAAAAAACACTTAATAAATATGGTATGTCTAAATACGCTATGAGTCTTAAGCACATGTGGAGTACTTTGGCTACAAGGCGTCTGACTCGGCCATTCAAAAGTCTCTCATGTCATAGACTTTAGTATTGTACTTATCTCAAACACTTTCAAAAAACTAAAAGACATTCAACCTCATTCAAACATTTTTGTGCGCTCAAGCACCTTTTTCCTTTAAAACATTTTCTAAGATTAGACATGATTCATTTATAATCGAGATGTCATTCTCCTATCCCCGCGATTGTAAGGATGTCGACTTTTCCACTTGAGTATTAGAGGTGTTATCAAACTCTCACTCATGATGATGCATTGTCCCTCTTCCGTATACCTTGTGGGCTATTAGTTGAGATTTCTATCCTAAAAATAATTACTTTTATCTTTGTTTAAAATCAATCAACACTTTTGTTCTTTTTGGACGGAACTACGGTGCTCTGATTTTCCCATTGCATGATGGAGTACGTAGGCACCAGGTCTCACGATCAAAGGTGATCGCAATAATAAAAATGAATTTATGTTGTTTGTATATATTCATTCATTCATTCCCTTTAACAAGTAAGGCTTTAGATAACACACTCTCTGACTAGAATAAACAAAGTAGATCCTGCAGAGTACCGTAGATGTATTGGGTGTTAATATCTTCCCTTTACATAACCGACCCCTGCACCTTGATCTCTGGTCTTCTATTTCTTTTGTGGGTTTTATTCGCTCTTTTTCCTTTTCCATTTAGAAACAATAAAGTGCGGTGGCAACTTCATTGTGTGAGTGAAGTCAATTAAAGTACTTAGTCTCAAATCTTTACCACTACATTTTTGCATACACGTGCGACATCTTGGTGACTTCACTGGGGGCTCTTTCCTAAGTGGCTCAATTCTAGCTTTGTTTGTTTCTTTTCTATGAGTGTTTATATGTATGCTTTACTTGCTATTTATTTATTACATTTTATTATTTTCCATTATTCTGTATAATGTTGTGTTGGATTTTCTGGTTTTTCAGGTTATGTGGGTGTTATTATGAGGTAAAAGGCCTAGTACCCATGTCAGAGTTGTAAACACTTCGGAACACATAGGACTAGAGTAGAGTCATGACGGCTACTGGACCTGGGTCTTTCTAGTGCAGTCATGTGTGCCACGTTCAAATGAGGTTTAAATGGGATACTATCGTTATATACGTCTATTTTTGTGATGATAGTACTTTCATGAGGACTCACGATTATGAGTTATCTTTTGACTTTATCTTGACCAGATTTTACCCGTGAGATGGGGTGGGAATTTATTCTTATAGGTGCAGATGCCGATCCTCTTGGTAATTGGTTCTTTTGTATTCTGATTTGGTGTCAGACCTATGATATTGTTGCAGTGCTTTGCATTACATAAAATTGTATATCATTTTCATCCTCTACATCGTGCATACGTCCAAGTTGTCCAAGATCTCATTCCCAGTTATTTCTTTCTTCCAGTTAGCCATCTACTGTCAAGCTGATTCCTCTACACAAGTACAGAACTAGAGCTAACATCATAAGAAGAATGGAAAATAGAGAACCACACAACATGGAAGTCAGAATGGAAATCAATGAGTTGAAGTTAGGCATGACCAAGATCACAAAAATGATACAAGTTTTAATTTCCAGAGGGGAGCCACCTCAAAGGACTGTTATTTTATAGGTTATTGTTTTTGTTGACCCTCAACCTATCCAGCGTCCATCCACTACTTTGCCACAGTTTGGGTTAGCTCAGAACTACGCTCCACCTGTTGCAACTACTCCAATGGTTGGCCAGTCTTCCAGACCAATTTTTTAAGCTCCCGTTTTAACTGAACCTCATCCAATCATTACTACTGCTTCTCATCAACCTGTTGCGCTGTTTACGAGAACCCTCTCTTTGAATACCATACTGCCAGTCCCCAAAGTGTAATTCAGGGGGATTTTATTGAGTTTGAAGATGTCAAAGAGAAATATAATACTTTAGAGAAAAGACTTATAGCTATGAAAGGAAATGAGTTCTTCAGTGTTGATGCTGATAATATGTGCTTAATTTCTGACCTTGTGATGCTAGCAAAGTTCAAGACTCTAGAGTTTGAGAAATACAAAGGGCATACATGTATGAGGAGTCATTTGGTCATGTACTTCAGGAAGATGGTTGCTTATACCAACAATCAAAAGCTTATTATCCATTTCTTTCAAGACAGTTTGACTGGTGCTTCACTCAAGTGGTATATGGGACTCGAAAGGAATTGTATCCAGTGCTTACAAGATCTTGCTAATGCTTTCATGAAACAATATAGGTATAATTTGGACATGGCACCTGATCACCGTCAACTGCAGAACATGTCTCAGAATGAGAAATAATCTTTCAAAGAGTGTGCTCAGTGTTGGAGAGAGTTAGTATCTCTCGTAGAACCACCTTTGGTAAAGAAAGAGCTTATTGGTTTATTCATGGATAATCTTACCCCTTTCTTTTGGGAAAAGATGATTCTAAGTGTGTCATCGAGTTTTACTGACTTGGTGATTATCAGACAAAGATTAGAAGAAGGCGTTAAGAAAGGCAAAGTGTTTGCTGCTAGTGAATCTTCTAATGGTGCAAAGAAATCATTTGGAAACTTCCATAAGAAGAAAGAGCGTGAAACAAATGTTGTCTCAATTGAGAGAAGAAGACCTAGCCATTATCAACCACAAATAGTTGTTGTTGCTCCTATGGTCAATGCTCAACCAGTTCAGGTTCCTCAACGTCAGGCCGTTGAACAAAATTAGAACCGTAACACAAGGACTATGACTCAATTTGAACTTATTCTAATTACCTACACCGAATTGTTTCCTTGCTTGGTTCTGTTAGGTTTGATCACTATAAGGTCTTTAACTCCTCCAGATCCTCTTTCAGCCGGATTTAGGTCTGACCTCCACTGTGAGTTCCATAAGGGAGCTGTGGGCCATGATTTGGAACATTGTTATGCACTAAAGGCTAGAGTGCAAGACTTGGTCAGAGGACAAGTAATAAATTTCAAAGCTCTTACTCCAAATGTTGTCAACAATCCTTTTCCATGACAAGTGAAGCTTTAGTCATATACAAACTATTTTCCTAAAGTCAATGTTTCAAACAAGGCAACTCATTCTTGTTACTGATTATTCACTAGGCCGTGTTTCTTTCTGTTTGCATTATCCTTTGTTTATGTTAAATTTTTGCTTTAAAATTTTGTTTGTACTCTCATGTTAATTTTAATGAAATGAGCATTACAATATTTTGATTCAAATCATTTTCATTTATTGCTTTCAAATATATTTCTTATGTTTACTTTCTTTATCAAACTTTTGTTTATGCAAAGATTGGAGGGAGGATGATGAAAACGAAATACCCATAATTGTTGTTAGTATGCTTTCGAATAAAACTTTGACGATGATGTATAGGCATTGTTTCAACTCCCAAATTCTAAAGAAAAAGGAAGTTAATCCCTTGTCAATCCCTTTGAGTCTAGAAGTTGTAATTTCTTTCTATACAAAAAGACCGTAATCTTTTATATATATATATATATATATATATATATATATATATATATATATATATATATATATATATATATATATATATATATATATATATATATATATATATATATATATATATATATATATATATATATATATATATATATATATATATATATATATATATATATATATATATATATATATATATATATATATATATCGGATATTTTCATTTTTGCATTTTTAGTCCAAAATCAATTTCATTTTTGTGATATATTTGAATTTTGATTAAAGTTTAGAATTTTGTTTTTTACTTCAATAAGTAATGTGATTTAGTTTAATTTTAATTAAATTTAAAAGTTGAATTTAATTAAATTAGAATCAATTTTAAAGTCTTCTTTGCATGTTTAGTTATTTCTTTTTATTTATTATATTACTAACATTTTTTTATAGTTATTATTAACACTCTTTTTTAGTTATTATTATTTGGTTGCTATTTGCTTCTATTGATCAAAATAGAAAAATTGGAGAATGCAAGTGAGTTCAAGTCAATATCAATTACACGGTCTGTACACCAAGAAGTGTTTCACGATAGTACCACCAGCTTCAAACCAAAACAAAATTTCATCCAAAATTCAGGAGCCAAATTTCCACTTCCAAGTTCAAATTTTCATACTATTTCATTCAAACTCAGTCAAACTTTCTATGCTCTTCAAACAAATAAAAAATCATCCTAATCTCACCATTCAATCCCATTTCTATCTAAGGCTCAAAATTCACAAAATCATTTTCCATGGATCGATGAATATTTTAGCTCCAAATTTCCCTCTCAATTTTCACTTTCACCACCTATATAAACATTGCTCAGATACACAAGAAATGGGGGAAAAAAGAAGAAGAAAAGAATTAGTATATGGTTCATTTGAAGGCTTCCCCTACCTTAACAATTCTTCATCAATCTACAATTTAACATAAGCAACAATTTCATTCACTCAATATTTTTTTTAGAATTAAAAATTGAATTTCTAGCAAAGGAGGAAGGAATTAAAGAATATCTTATTACCTGGATTTCACCTCTGGTTCTCTCTCTATCTTCATCATC